CAAGCACGCCGTCGGTACCCTTAAACATCACGGTCTTCGTCCGTCATGGCTTATTGCGATTGGCCGGCTAGCTGCTAGCACATCAATAGATCGTCTAACATTGCCGTAGAACAACGCCACCACACACCGTCAGTTTTCGATTGTGCTGTCTATTTGGGCCAAGATATGGGCTTGCCAAAGTTGCCCGGGAGGTCATACTGTAACCTCAACTGAGAAAGCACCCTCACCCTGTCAATGACTCAATCTTGTCTGAGGGCTGGACTTTCTCGAAGCGGCGCCCGCAACGTCACTGTCTAGTTACCTCATACCTTCTGGACTTACTGGAGACGACTAGCCATGTGCTACGTTCTCGTGTTCAACAGTTTCACTAACCGGCTGTATCCTTAACTCTGTCGCCCTGAAGTTCAGCCTCGTGGTTTTTGGGCGAATGAGCTACGTCGGGGCTATAATCCGATTGTTGAATTAATCCCATTCGCACAATGGACTCTCGATTATCGACGAAATTTCCTGCAGTATGGTACGACTTTGCACCAGCACTGTTTCAGCCCACTGCCAGTTGGATGCCGCATTGAATTGCATGCTCCACTGTCTCTAACGTCGATCCAGACTCGTGTGCTGCAAGTGCAATACATTGCGGAATGACGTGCGTTAGAAACCTTCATGGCGCAGACTTTCGTGTAGCAGGATACGCGAATCCACTCAACAGGATCGGAGACATCTGCCAAACCCGGCGACTTCTCGAGACAGACATCAAGTCCACATTCGTACGTACAAGCGCGGTAAGATCACGCACTTGAGCTGTCAGCTTTTGACTACTGTACTATGACCGTTGCTTCACTACTGCTCCGCCGTTGAAGATGTCGGCCTAGGCTAGGTAGCCCAGGAACACGCCCTTCTGACGAAGTTTGTTCAGCCACCAGTCCACAGCCCCTCCAAAAAAGTGAGCTCGTCACAGACGTTCGCTGACGCCCGCACCGCAACCGCAAGGGACACGCTGTTTCACCAGGCGGGCCACTCCGTATTCAAAAATCCTTCAGGGCGTCTAGACGCGGATCCGCCAGGTCTTGCCGACTACCTCTACTCCAAGGCCCTTATGCGGTTGACGTTGTGTGCGCGGATCAAGAGACAGCCTTAGCGGGCCTATCCGCCCTGGATGTTCATCACGGTCTCACCACGTTCATCCGTGTATTTCTTCATGTTGGTTTGAACTAACTAGGAAACTTGGTTGTTTCAGACATCTTTGCCACGTGGGATGAAGGTGGAAATTGCGGGGAGCTGGGTCGGACAGAGCGAAACTGACTCATTCAGCAATGACATCCACACACTTCCAGCGGAGCAGTTGGCCGATGACGATGGTAGTCTGCTACCGATCATTTTCGGCTTGGCGAAAGACGAAGAACATCCGATTCGGACGACTGTGGTGCGGTACTAAGCTACAACGCCACCACGAATCTCGACGACAGCCCTAGAATCTAGGCACGCTACATCGTATTATGCAACACCAAGCTGCACCGCTCACGATGTGTCGATATGGGGAAACATCCGCGAGCTGCACGGCAATACCCTCTCGCATATACACACCAATCAGGAAGCTGCCAGCAATCTTATCTCCACGAAGCTCTATCCTGTCCTCTCGATCGCTGCAAGGGGTCTGGTCCGGTAGGTTTGATCGAAGCCGAAAGTTTGACCACTGCAGGCATTGCATGATCGAACACTTCGGTGCGGACCGTTTGTCTGGACAGGACATCCGCAAGTTACGTGTCAACCTTACCACCCACCATGCTGCACAGCTCGCAATCCTGCAGGTAATTAAAGTCTTTAATGATGCCATGATGATCACTACGCAACATTTAGCGGCGCCGTTGGTCTGCTCTTTGAAACAACTCCGATGCTGCAAGATGTGCAGGAGCGATCTGGGCACCTAGGTGAGAGAGCTGGATATCGATACCCTGCGCGTGCGTCTTCCCCAACGAAACGCTTGCAGAAATGATTGGGCACCAGTGCGACATACCATCAGATACCCCATTGCCTCTTGGAGTAACGCCGGGACATCCTCATCTCCCATTCCAAGCTTGTGGATGCCCCAATGTGGTCGAGCAAACAACGAGCATCCTTACATATCATGCCCAACAACGCCCAACAGGGCCAGCACGTTGGAACTTGTTGAGAAGAGTCACAAAACCGGTTGCAGTCGTGAGGGGTGGCACCCGCACTGGTTGTTTAGGGCTGACTGTGTAGCACTCGTTTCGTTCATGATCAGCAGATAAACGGTTGCTGATCTTGCCGAGAGAAGGACCGAAGAAGCCGTTGGATTGACATGGGGAGGCTTCGCGCCGTCCACGGTTTTTTGGCTTATCTCGGGGGATCTGTGACTGGGGTTTCGCAAGATTGTCTCTGGTCGCGATCTCTGCGGTGTTACTTTTTGGGGTAATCGCGCTTTTGGAGCTCGCACAATGCACGCAATCGGGATGTTGTGGTCAGTCAGCCAATACAGGGGATGAGGCAATCAACAGTGATGCTGAATGCGGGTGCATGGAGCAGTGCTTGAGCCGCGTCGTTCATGCTGGGTTGAGCGGCTCCAGCTGCACTGAATGGCTGACGAACCCCGCAAGGGAATGCGCGTTCGCTCTTGCAGGCGCTGGACGCGCACTGCAACGTCTCCCAGGAAGCTGCCTTCGCAATGTGGCATCCATTTGCCCGCGATAGCGTAGTCCCTTTGGGAGTTCCGTTCCTCTGGAGCCTCATTCTTTTTCGAACCGCTCTCCTCTGTTGGCATGCTAACTGCCGTGTTTGCCCAAAGTCTGACATAAGATCAATGTGAGCATGATCAGTGCACGTGGGAGGAGGCAATCGCCCCTTTTCTTATCCCTTTCACAGTGCATGGCGAGATTGGGTGCGTGTGGTTGCGAGAGACGTAGCGTATTGATATTGGGCATTTGTACATAGTGAGTGTTGGTGGCGATACATGTCCGCAGCAAGTAAAATGAATGACGAGATTACCAAGGCGAGGACACATTCGACCCTTCGCCCAAAATGTCGGTCGACGCGACGGATGAGCTTCCTGGCCTTCCTAGCATTCTGCCATGCGCTTCTAGGAGTTTCTCCTGACAGAAGCCGATGAGCCTCTGTCGAAACTCAGGATTGTAATGTGTGCATAGCTCGTAGTGATCACAGTCAGCTACCATCATCTGTTCGTTTAGCAAGCCAATCTTGGCTAATTCGTAGGTCACGACCTATAGCATATGTTAGAATTATATATGGAGAAAACCAGCTGTTTGTGGTGTGATGTGTAATCTCTTGATGACTTACCACATATTTTTCCGCTTTCCATCTTCGTCCAAGTAACTTGTGCTCTTCCACTCGCATTGCCTTGCTCTCTCGACCATCCCAAATTGATAATACAGGCAGGTCAGGACGGTGTGCACGGATATACGTATCGAACTCTTCAGAGAGTAGGCGGAGGTACACATTTTGAAGATCCAGATCCAAGAGCTTCCTATCGATGCTTTTTGTCCTTCTCGAGGTGGGCGGTCTTGTGACGAGGCCAATGATGTTCTCATGATCTGCTATATTCTCGGACGTAAGATGTGGTGTTCCAAGAAAGATGACGCCGACTGTGTTGTTGACGAGATTCTGATGCCATTGGGACGGAAAGCCTCGGAGCTCAGGACTACTAGACTTCCAGAAGAACTGGCCATCGTCAGCTTCATCTCCTCTTGATCCTTGGTTTAATAAACTCACATCTTTGATGAATATGCCTCCGATACCGTGGCCCAGAAAAACCATGGGTATGGACATTGCCTTCGTCTATCATCAATTAAGGCTCCGGCCTCTGTAGCATGGCGACTTACATTATTTTCTTCGCGATATTCGTAGATCAGCTGCATCATGGCGTGCGAACTGTCCCTGACTTGAGTCCACCGATTGAAGTCTTTCCCATTGACTGGTAAGCCATGTTCAAGTACGAGGACTTGTATATTCATGTAGTGTTTGGTGAGATCGCGCACAAGTGGCTCATCGCTAAAGCCATCTATACTCCAAATCTCGACGGCAGGATCACCCGTGCCTGGTACGATAACGACACTACACTTATGTTAACAGAAAGATCTCTTGTTCCAGGCCTCACTTACAATGCGTCAGGCTCCATCGTATGCGTGAGGTCGTTTGGCAAGCCCAGAGGCCTCAGCGTGCAGGCTTTTTGACGAATAATGGACGGATCTTTTGACCACGCCGGACTCATGGGGCTGGCACTGGCACTGTCTAAAGACAACTGAGAGAACGGCATCGCCCTAGTCCAATGGCCGCTAGGCGCCCTTGGGGAAGTGTCTGATGTTGGCTGTGATGGTGATGCATCTGATAGGGTTGTGCCAGGTGAAAGAGTGAAGTCATCGACGGTTATCGGCCTATCGAAATACTCTTCAGTCTCTTGAAGGGAGTCTGTACTGTCCAGATCAGAGCGCAGTGTTACTGATCTCGTCGCATATGGTGGTGTCGCGCTGCCGGATCGGCGCTCTTCTTCCGAACTTCTGGGACTTTTCACACTTTCCACTCTTCCTGGGAGCGTTGAGGTATTGGCCTGGTTTAGAGTTGAGCCATCCAGTGACTCTTGAGACTGTGAAGGCTTCTTCTGTACTGTACTGTCAGTCGCTAGGTCGAAAGTAGATGAGTCTTTGGCAGGTGGTGATGGTTGCTCTACTAGGGTCGTAAGACCAAGAGCATATCCGTGTGACTCTAGATCTACAGCATCGGCTCCGCGTCGTGAAGATGTGGGAAACCGTTCTTTGGCTGCAGTTCTGACAGAGTCGAGGGCTTTGAACACTATAGTAGACCTTTCCGCATCGCTCCAGGCCAGGGATGCCGCAGATGCGACAGTAGATGCTGTCTGCTGCGCCATGTTACGGAGAAAGTTAGTCGCGTTCTTGCCTTGTTCGTGTAGTGTAGAAGCCGGTCTATGCGATGTCAGCATGTTGGTTCTCTAAAACGAAAGAACGCCTGATCTCTTACCTCAACGATTCAATCGAGTCTCTTTGAGTAGCCTCTTGTGCTTTAAGCCAGGGATCTTGGAGAGCGTCGGATGCTGTGGGACGGTTCTCAGGAATGACTTGCAAAAGTCTCTCCAGTAAGTCGCATCCTTTCCGTGAGATACTTTGCGCTTGCAGCACATGATAAGGGAAAGGCGTTTTCCCCTCGACGTAGGACCCCAGATCTTTTGCGAAAGGCTCGCTGCCAGTGAGAGCCTGGAAAACTAGTGCACCCAAAGCCCATATATCTACGGCATCCGTGTATGATTTGCGTCCAGCGAGGGCCTTCCAATTAACGTGACCTTTTCTCATGATGACTTCGGGTGCCATGAAGCCATCTGTACCAGTATATGTACTGAGTGAAGCCGCGTCCTGCATACGCTTGCTGACCCCAAAATCGCCAAGCTTGACCCACCAGTTAGGGCTGCGCTCTTTGATCAGCACATTTTGTGGCTTCAGATCACGATGAACGAAGCCGTGGTCGTGCATACTCTTCAGTCCGTCTAATATCTGGTGAGCAACGCATTGGGCTTCATGCTCTAGTAGTTGGCCGAACTCGTCAAAATGGCGGCTTAGATCGCCATGGGGAAGATATTCCATCGAGATGTATACGTGTTTGTCATCTTCGTACCATCCAAGCGACTTGACGAACGAATAGTTGAACTGTATTCATGGGCATGTCAGCCCCCCATAACCTGATGGGCGGTGGCCTGAAACCGAATGGGAAGTACTCACCTTGTCCTGAGAGAATTTCGCTATCGCATCCAGCTCATGACTGTAGTCGACTGCAGACCTCTTCTCAATTTGCTTGACGGCTCGTTTGTCTGTGTCTTTGTCGCCGCCTCCTACCAGCTTCTGCAGCCAAACAGTCCCGAACGATCCCCGACCAAGTTCTTTGGACTGCTCCCACTTCTGCTTCTTTTTATTCTTTCCAAGAAGAGGAGTCGTATCCGGCGTCCGAATATGATGGATCGTGAATCCTCTCTTAAAGATTGTGTCCAGTTTGGAATCGGCCACTAACTCTGGCACTAGCTCCATAGCTCCGATATGCGTGGAAAGTGGGGCAGTCAAAGGGGAAGTAGCGAAGGCCTTGGAAGAACTAAACACAACACACAACACACGACAAAACCGGTATACGAGAAGCGCTGGAGCAATGCTGCGCGCGGAAGGTGAGAGGGGTGTGATGTATTTCGGAAGCAGCAGCAGCGTCATGATCCAACCCCAGCCTACCCCGCCGATGTACCCAGGTGGCACGGCAGGCACTGCCTATTCGCCCCCCAACTGCGCATAGGTGGTAGAGATCGACCCTGTAACTCTTCTCGTATGTATATTAACCAGCCTTGCGCCGTCATACACAGCCTGTTCTGCGTCTATTTGCAGCTTTGTCGGCCCCTCACTCTCAGCCACTGACGATTATCCCTACCCGTTCCGTCTGATCCTTGACAATACCCCTCCAATCGAGGCATTCCCTTTGTCCCATGCCCTGCAGTGCATCTGGTATTACTCGCTCCATTCTGTAACTGTTCTTCGTTGATTGCGACCCTCAAGTCGTCTCACGACAATCTCGTAAGACTTCGCAATGTCTGTTGAAGTGGCACTGGCAGTCGTCGCGACTGTTGACCTGGCAATAAAGTGAGTGCCTCACGTTCAATTTACCCTCCCACTAAAACGTGTCTCAGATATGGCGAACGCCTTGTCGACCTGTACACTAGCTACCGAAATGCCCCGGACGAGATCAAGGAGCGAGTGCTATTGATGAGGAACAGCTGGTTCCGAATACAAACCCAACTCCGATATCTTGAAAGGATCAAGACTATACAGGGTGAAGAGTTCAAGATCATGCAAGATCAGACGCTCAGGGTGCTGCAGATCAAGTTGGAGGCTGCGGTGGGCGAAGTGCAAAACCTTGAGAAGAAGCGAGACACCGCCACCACCACCAAAACGGCCGGCGCTACGACGAAGGAGACGAAATATCATAATTGGAAGTATCCTTTCGTCAAAAAGAGCCTCGATGCCGCCATAAGCGAACTGCAAAAGTGGCAGCAGGCTTTTGATCCATCCTGGTATCTAGCCCTGATGATGTCTAACCGGCTGATAGACAACCATTTGCAGGATTTCTTAGAGGGCGATTCTGAGCTGCCACCAGTTGATCGCAATGTCATTTTTTCTGCGATAGGGGTTCGCGAATCACTCAAACCGGAATCAGGCACCGGAGAGAAGAAGAAGGTGTTTCTACCAGACAACGCGACTTCGGGCTTTGTGCGCACGCCAATCTCATACTCAACAGCATCCTTAGGTCAAACGCCAGACAAAAGCCAAACCTTCGTTTTAGACTCTGTCCCAAGTCAACAAGGCATCAAGCCCGACATTCAAGTCGCAGACGTACGCGATCTCGCTCGCAAGCTCAATGGAGCAGACGCGCTTTCATTTGGCCTGCTCAGATGCTTTGGTGTCGCCAAGGTATGCAGAGATAAAAGAACGACCACGGCTTACGATTTCGTGTTCTATATCCCGTCCTCGGTGCGATCACCACAGAGTCTCCGCAACATATTGATCGAAGCAAAACCCAATGTTAGTCTCAGCACGCGCTTTCGCCTCGCGCTCCAGCTCGCACGATCTGTTACCTTTGTCCACACTTACAAATTCGTGCATAAAGGCATCAGACCCGAAACAATCCTGGTCTTCGATGCTGAGAAATCCGAGTACACGCACTCATTCTTGGTCGGTTTCGAGAAACTCCGGGCTGCGGACGGGAGAACTGTGATGGCCGGCGACGCCGCCTGGGAGAAGGATCTGTACCGCCACCCGGAGCGACAAGGACTAAGACCAGAAAGCGAATACACGATGCAGCATGACATCTACAGCCTCGGTGTGTGCTTACTGGAGATAGGCATGTGGCGCACGCTCGTCACATACAGCAGCACGAATGAAGCGAATCCATCGCAACTCTTGCCGCCACCGGGCTATACCGAGAAGAAGGAAATGACCAAAGCTGCATCGCTCAAGGAAACGCTCGTCGGAATTGCGCAGCGCGAATTACCCAGCTGCATGGGCGACAAGTATACGGATATTGTCGTGACCTGTCTGACATGCTTGGACGAAGATAATCCCGAATTTGGCGACAAGACCCAGTTCCAAGATGAAGACGGCATAACTATCGGGGTGCGCTATATCCAAAAGGTTAGCGACAAGACTCCTACCACGTTGACACGATACTAATGAGTTGGTCAGATCCTGCTCAGACTGAGTAACATCTCGGTCTAGATGGTCATGACACGCGACCCTCACAGCCAAGAAATGATGCAAAATCCCGCTCGAAATGCGACGCATAGATACCGCAGTGCGCAACAATGTCACCGCCATCATCTCAGTCCTTCTCCTGTGTGAAACCCATGAGCTGAAATACCGCCACGTGATCAACCACGTGTTCCTTCAGCTGTTGCTTCTCTCAAAGTGCGTCGTCGTTCGACCACTTGACGCTTCTTGTCACCGCCCTTTAGGAACCCTCCTTCACCGCTTTTGCATGGTCAAAGTGAACGCGCCCGCGTATAACAGGGGGTCTGCTGTGCGTGCTGTTGAGCGATTGAAGTGTGCAAACAGCTTTGTTGCTTGAAGCAGGTACGGAAACTCCATGTCAAGTGCCTAATGTTATGTCAAAACGAAAGAACAGAGTTGTTGTCTAAATCTTAGTCGAATCAGTACAGAGGAAGGAAGTTCGATGGCGATCATCATTACTGGATATCCACCTCACAATGTACCTTACCGAGGTTCCTCGTGAGGAGACCATGAGAGGTTGAGCGCGGAAGACAGGAGAAGAAGTTCGATGGCGCTTTTACCTCCGAGATCCGATCGACATACTAAAAACAGAGCATAAACATACAACAGCGGGGATACCTTGGTACTTACCTACCCAATACGAAATACGCCGGTACGACGCCGGGCTTTGAACCTTTTGCATTGACGATGTTCTCGAATTGGTTGTCCAAGCACTGCAGCAGCACTGCCAGGAGCTGCTGAAATCCACCTTTACGAATGGAAGTAACATCGTCTTGCGATCTTCCATCGTATTCGACTGGACGCGTCCACATCTGTCTCCCAACGCGAATGTCTACACCGTTAGTTTCAAAGGGCATATCCTCGGCATGAATGTTTTCTGGAGAGGACATTGCTGTATCTATTTTGAGCGCATGCCGGCCGAGGCCGCCACCAATCAAAGCTCGACAAGGGGCTGCGCTTTACCCCATTCGGATACATGCTAAGGGCTTCGGCCCTATACCGTGGCAATTATGCGTCATTTCCGCTTAAAATCTTCTAGACGGTCATGGGAGGGGGGCGCGCCACAGCCGGTGCTTGCCATTGCAGGGTCACAAAAACTGGGGATACGATAATTACCCGACTGGATGAAGTCATAGCGTTGCGCTTTGGTCGTCGGCGCCGAGTGTGGACACCCTTCAGCCTCGTTGAGGACAGGCATGATGTAGGACAAGGGTAGGAAATACGAGATGGCATTTGGATATAAGAGAGATGGGATGCTGCTCTCTCTAAGCCATCATCCAAACATCAACTCATCAACACTACACTAATACTTAATCACCACAACTACCACTCCCACACTTCAACAACACCACAAATCATCAACATGAAGTTCACCGCCGCCGCCGCTGTCGCCTCCATGGCCGCCATCTCCTCCGCCCTTCCCCAAGCGTCCGTCTTCCCTCGCCCCGAGGCCGGCGATGTCTTCCGCCTGATGTCCCTTCGCTCTGCCACCCCCATCCAGTACGGCGCCGTCCAGGCCGCCAACGGCAGCCTCCTCATCAACACTCCTTCCGAGAACAACAAGACCTGCGCCATCAACGGCGACCGCGAGAACGTCACCAACGGCATCAACTACGCCTCCTTCACCCTCGACGAGGAGACCGGCAGCGTCTACATCTACACCTTCAACCCCCCTCTCCAGCTCTACGTCGACCGCAGCGGCATGGGCCAGGGCAACGTCCGCTACTCCACTGGTGTCCAGCCCATTGGCAAGAACCAGGAGCGCGGCCCCTTCAAGATCGACGACGACGGTAACCTCGTCTTCGCTGCTGGCGGTCTTTCCGGCGACGTTGGCTTCCAGGCTTGCCCTGGTGCCGTTGGCGGTGGCTGGAAGATCTGGCTCTCTGGTGTTGACAAGCCTGCTGGTTCCGAGGGCTGCACTCCCTTCACCATGAAGGCGCTCAAGGAGGAGACCACCTACAAGTGCCTCTACTCTTCTTAGATGCTTAATGCTGAGCTGGTGGAGATCGTTCGACATTGTACATATTACCATCGCATTTGAGCGTTTGCATAGCTTCTTGTTTATAGACCGATAGAATTGGAAATGATAATGTTATCCATACACCTTCATACACACACCGCGTTCCTTTTTGCTGTACTTCATGACTTTTAATCGGAAGCTTCAGTCCTGGAGAGATGCTGACAGCGGCTCGGTGTAACACGGCCGGACTCGATGGTAGTCGGAGCGCTACTCGGAGTCTCTAAGATTACCCCTTCAAGGATGGCAATACTCACTGAACCATGGAGCGACCGGAACGAAACGGAAAGAAGGCATGCAATGGAATCTTACGCGAACACATGAGACTAGTCATATCAAACAAGTGAAAAAGACTGAACAGGTCTAGAGACTACATCGACATAAGAACATGCAAAGCAGGTGACCTAACGTCGATGTAGGCTCCAGGATGTTTGGTTGTTTTCTGGGTTGACGTGTGACTGCCGGATTTAGGAAGTGTCTTAACCTAGCGTGAGTCACTTTCCTCTCATCCAAGGATGCCCAAGCAACTCCTTCGCGGTCCACCGATCCTCCGGCCTCCACTGCAACATGCACCTCACAAACCGCAGAAACTCCTCTTTCTCTTCCCCATGCAGGTTCTCTTCAGATCCCTCCAACGACAAACCTTGCGGTATGTCAATCTCGGTTATCCAGTTCCCTTCACCATCGAAGAATTCTTTACTCCGCGCTCCTCTCTCTAGCATGTCTATTGGCGGCGGACCGAGCATCGCGACTACCTCCGCGAGATGAACTCTAGTCAGGTATCGCTTTTCGGTTGGATCGATGCCGTGAAAGAGGTGTTTGTCCTCGTATAAGTCCCAAATCTGTGTGCACCTCCGTCAATGTCTAGTTTCGCAGTTCTCAAGCTTGAGACGGTACATACCATCGCTCCCACGTTCCAGATGTCAGCAGAATAACCCCATTCTGTCTTCAGCATCACCTCTGGACAGCGGTAGACGTCTGGTTGCGCATCGTGAATCTGGGGTTTGTCGCCACGGACTGCAGAGCCGAAGTCTCCAACGACAACACGACCGTATTCTTTCGGTAATCCGAATTGGCGTGTCGCGTAGATTGGCTTGCCGTCTACGACTTTGCGCGGCGAGGGACTTGTCATTTCGGCGTCGACAAAGGCTTCCAGGATGCCCTGATCCTCGATTTCTATGAGGATGTTGTCGGCTTTTATGTCTACGTTCTTGTTAACAGAATGGCAGGAAGGTATCTTTTGGGTAGTTCGTACCTGTATGTATGACCTTAGCTTCTGTGTGAAGGTAATCGAGTGCGAGAAACACTTGCGACAACCCGGCTCTTAGCAGCTCGTCCGTGAAGCGATGCACCGGGTTCCTATTCAAGAGGTCCTTGAAGCTATCCCACATTGGTTTCTGCACAAGACAACGATGATCGCCACCTTTTCGGGGTATGGTAGATAAGTCGAGGGCTGTCCGGACGTGATGGTATCCTGGGTGCGAAGCATTGCCTTTGCTTAAGATGTTGTACATGTTGTGCTCGTCCTCGTCCATTCCCTCTCTTGTGAAGACTTTCAAGGTCGTATAGGCATGGCGGCTGGCTTGCTGTCAGCATGGATAGCTAGCATAATCGCCGAATGCTAACTTGCTGTAGATCACAAGCCAGCCAGACAGTTGACGTAACACCGAAACCAAGTTTCCCTACTACTTGGTACTTTGACGCGAAGACGTCTTCTATGTTGACAGGGTAGTACACACCCCTGTGGAACTTTACAAGCTGTTCTTCCTCAAACGATAGCGCGTCGCTAACGACTTCATAACCAGATGTCGGAAATTTGAGCTGGGGCCATGGCTGCCTTCGAAAGAGCGACTTCGCGAGTTTGAACATGACAAGGTAGAAGGCATGGGCTTAGTCGAACTCTGAGCCCCTCTTCGACCTTGTGAGTTGCTTTGGGGTAGATATCGAAGCAAAAAGAATGCAGTAAGTTGAGGGGTTGCGACTGCCTATAATGCCGTTGTGGTAAGGTTGAGAGGGACGACGTGAGAGCTGTTGAGACTAGAGGGACCTATTGTAAAGAAATGACAAAGCTTCCAAGAGGTGACAGAGGCTCTGTCATGTTCCTGGTAGCCGTCTCCGGGTCGCCTCTGGATGACTGAACCTAGGTGCAAAAAAGTGCAAAAGAATGGCAAAAAACATACAACAGCGGGGATTCGCTAGTGGTCACCCACCTAACTACTAATCCGCCGGTATCATGCTTGTATATGGCTGAGCGGACGGGAAGCCTAATTTTCATGATCCTATGGTCGTATGTGAAAGAATGGGTGGTTGGTGGACAACATATACTGAGATAATGACCTAGGACTCCAGGAACGAGCAGAAACATTATCTATCCGTAGTACCAGCGTGAGATCGTATTCTAAGCCGGGGGTGTGGGTCGTGGGGCCTTGGTGTTTAGTGGGTGCTGATTTTGACATGCCGCATGCATGTGTTGTCGCTAAGTGGGCCTTTGTCGGCGGAACCAAGGAACTGATGGGACAAGTCAACGTTGGTATTTACAGGCGTCTTCATTCGTTGCTGCCACTAGCTGCTAGATTGTAGGACTGCGATATGCTGTAGACGACTGTTGGCGTCGAGATTTTGAGATGGTGGTACCTGGGATACAGGTTTGGGTGTAGTGAGCGCGGTGCGTGGAGACTTCAATTCGTACTTTGGCGGATGCCCCATTCGCTGGCCATAGTTCTTCAATATTTCCATCTCTTAGATTCAAGGCCCGCTTGGGTTGTTGGTGACATAGTGGTTGCGAAGCAGAGGCCGTTGGGTATCTAGGTAGGCAGCACGCGTCCCGCCACCTTTCTTTTTTCCACCTTACACCGCCAGTACTACAACTGTTGTTTGTGACCGGCAATGAGCATCAAAGATTGATGCGATGATAGATTGACGTTGCGCGCAATTCAGATGGTCGCGCACGTGATCTGGTGTCCTGATCTTGGGAGGCAGCTGCGAACCTGTTCGCCGGGATGGTGATCGGACAAAGACCGGCCCATCGGTTCGCGACGTTTTCGGCAGTGTCGCATGCGCCCATGGTCCACGAGGCAGCCACACAGCCTCTATGCTGTACTCCGGTGTAGGCTCGACTACGCTGCGCTCAGTCGAATCATCGGTATCGTGGCATAGTCTATTACCACATACTGGGGGTTAGTCGGTTGCGTAGCCCGCGGCGTTATCGGCAGTAGGGCTAGTAAGCAGCAATGATTATATCATACCGACGGCCCGAGCTCTCATGTCAAAAGTGCCCTCGCGTCGCAACCGCCTAGACACCTTCTCGCCGCCTTCGACGCCCTGATCTGCCTAAACTCTGCGACAATCAGAGTTCCGGCAATCACAAGCACCATCCGATCGATGCAGGGCCAACAACAGACGCCCTTCCTCCCCAGCATACCGCTTGCGCACGGCTATCTGACGGCCTCGAAGCACCACCGCCAGCCATTATGCGGTAATAGCGAGGGCTGGGGCCCAATCAGCCCGATACGATACGACTTCACTCCGTGCTTCTTGGATGTATGGATAGCGGTCGTCGCGGCGTTTGGAATCGTGGGCGGAGTAGGCGCGTTGTGGTATCTCTACAGGAAATGCCCACCGCAGCCCGTGAAGCGCAATTGGCACTTTTACGCGAAGCTGGTATGTTCGAGACTATGGGTTCATCTAGGTATTAGATTGAGTAGTAGCTAACAATTTGCGCCACCAGACGTCACTCAGCGCCCTCATCGCCACCACAGCAGTCCAGGCAGCCCTCCAGATCGAATACTACAAAGACGTATGGGCCGGTGACTTCCGCTTCTGGACATCTATAATCACCGTCGTCTCTCTCGGCTTCGTATTCCACATCCAGTATATCGAACACTGGCGGTCGCGAAATGCCAACGGCGTGGTCCTCTTCTACTGGCTCTTCCTGCTCATCGCATACGCCGTCAAGCTCCGCTCCCTCGTCTCCCAGCAGGTACATCGCGAACATGTGGCATACTTCGCAGTCTTCTGCGCTAGTGTTGGATTGGCTGGGCTCTCATTCGTCCTGGAATGGCTGGTCCCGAAGCGTATGAGCGACTACGACATGCTTGGAGACGACGATGAATGTCCATACGAATACGCAGACGTCTTCTCTGTCTTGACATTTGGCTGGATGACACCGATGATGAAGCAAGGATACAAGACTTTCCTCACCCAGGACAGCCTGTGGAACCTCCGAAAGCGCGACACCACCCGGCACACCTCACAGACATTTGAGGATGCGTGGAAATATGAGATGGAGAAGAAGCGCCCTTCGTTGTGGCTGGCAATGTTCCGCTCATTCGGCGGTCCCTACTTCCGCGGCGCTGCCATCAAGACCATAAGCGACGTTCTGAACTTCGCCCAGCCCCAGTTGCTGAGGCTTCTGATCACTTTCGTCGATTCGTACCGTGCCAACTACCCCGGAAAGCCCCAGCCTCTCATTCGCGGTGCGGCCATCGCGCTTGCCATGTTTGCCGTATCCGTTTCCCAGACCGCCTGCCTCCACCAATACTTCCAGCGGTCTTTCGAAACCGGCATGCGCATCAAGTCTTCGCTCACGGCTGCCATCTACTCCAAGTCCACCCGTCTATCCAACGAGGGTCGCGCGTCCAAGTCAACCGGTGATATCGTCAACTACATGGCCGTGGACACACAGCGTCTCCAGGATCTTGCGCAATACGGACAACAACTGTGGTCAGCTCCCTTTCAAATCATCCTGTGCATGCTATCGTTGTATCAATTGCTTGGTGTCAGTTGTTTCGCAGGTGTTGCCGCCATGTTCGTCATGATTCCTATCAACGGTGTGATTGCACGGTGGATGAAGACTCTGCAGAAGGAGCAGATGAAGAACAAGGATTCGCGTACCAAACTAATTTCTGAGATTCTCAACAACATGAAGTCGATCAAGCTCTACGCTTGGACGACTGCCTTTGCCAACCGCCTGAACACCATCCGAAACGACCAGGAACTCAAGACCTTGCGCAAGATTGGTGCTACCCAGGCGTTCTCCACATTCACTTGGTCTACAACTCCGTTCTTGGTGTCGTGCTCAACCTTTGGTGTCTTCGTCTGGACGCAGAACCGTGCTCTGACAACTGACATTGTCTTCCCTGCTCTTACGCTCTTCAACCTCCTCACTTTCCCACTTGCCATCCTCCCTATGGTTATCACCGCCATCGTTGAGGCTAGTGTAGCTGTTGGCCGTATTACTGGCTACCTGACTGCCGATGAGTTGCAGGAGGATGCCGTTATCCGCGAAGACGCTGTGACTGAGAATGGCGACGAGTCGGTGCGCATCCGCGATGCTAGCTTCACTTGGGACAAGAACGCTGAGCGTCGTGCTCTCCATGACATCAACTTCACCGCGCACAAGGGAGACCTCGCGTGTATTGTCGGTCGCGTCGGTGCAGGCAAATCATCGCTTCTTCAAGCAGTTCTCGGTGATCTGTGGAAGATACATGGAGAGGTCGTTCTACGCGGAAAGACTGCGTATGTTCCACAGTCAGCTTGGGTCATGAACGCTTCCGTTCGCGAGAACATCGTATTTGGTCATCGTTGGGATCCCCAGTTCTACGAGAAGACTGTCAATGCCTGTGCACTACGAGACGACTTTGGCTCCCTTCCCGATGGCGACCAGACCGAGGTCGGTGAACGAGGTATCTCACTCTCAGGTGGTCAAAAGGCTCGTCTTACTCTTGCTCGTGCGGTTTATGCGCGTGCAGACATCTATCTTCTCGATGACTGTTTATCCGCTGTTGACCAGCACGTTGGACGCCATCTCATCGACAACGTACTCGGACCCAAGGGTTTACTTGCGGGCAAGACCAGGATTCTGGCAACCAACTCCATCCCCGTTCTGATGGAAGCCGACATGATCCTGCTACTGCGCGAAGGCAAGATTCTAGAGAGAGGCAGCTACGGACAACTAATGGCCATGAAGGGTGAAATCGCTCAGCTCATCAAGACATCTCAGAACGAAGACCAGGGAGAAGATGACAGCACTCGCACATCCGACAGCATCATGAGCGATGAAGATTCTACAGTCTACGGTGGTAGTCCCACCGGCGAAGACGACGAGGAAGATCAAGCCGAAGCTGAGGCCGCCCAGGAGGGTGGCGCCACTCTCGCCCCCTTGAGGGTCGGAGGCGGTACGGGCCGCAAGTCGAGCTTCCAGACCCTTCGTCGAGCCAGCACTGCCAGTTTCAAGGGACCTCGCGGCAAGATGAACGATGAAGAGGGCGGTGGGCTCAAGAGCAAGCAGATCAAGGAGTTCTCTGAGCAAGGCAAAGTCAAGTGGTCCGTTTACGGCGAATATGCAAAGACAAGCAATCTTGCAGCGGTCGCCATCTATCTGATGCTCCTTTTGGGTGCTCAAACATCATCAATCGGTAAGTCGCACAGCCTTGAATGCTTCTACGTGGTCCTTGGCCTTCGAGTAGCACGCTATTGGCTCGTCACTTTTTCGTCTTTTGAGGTTGACGCTAACATCATGCAGGCGCAAGCGTGT